TCCGCACCACCTCCACCTAAGTTCGGACTTCCTATTCCAAGAGTCATGCTTCCCGACATAGGACTACCAGGAGTATAAGCCCTCGGCGACCCAATTCCTCCCCCACCTGCCCCTCCGCTTCCGCCTAGTATATCACCGAAATTGATGGCGCCCAGAGACCTGGTCCGTCCGTGACCCATGCGGTCAGTCGCAGTCGTGGCGGAAGTGGAGGCGGGGGCAGCAGAGGATGGTGAGGCCGAGGCATGCTGAGAATTGTGTCGCTCCATCTGGATGGGTGAGAGCATGAGGGACCAGTGGAGTTCGATTGGGATGAAAGTGAGATTGGAATGTAATGCGGAATAAGAAATGGGCGGAGAGGGTGATGAAACGCTTGGGAGGGCGCGTCTCGCACGCGTCACTCGCTCTACGCTAGCTAGGTTACGTTAGGTTACGTCAACTTGACATTGTGTCAATAGCGACTCCCAAATACCATCATCCATCTTCTGAGCTCTTTTATCATTCCGCACCTTCTCCCGATCGCAATCACTCACCACCTCTTCGCTCGATACGCCCTCATGGCAAATATCGCCAACCCCAGTATGCCACCCTCTTTGCCCCCCCATTCCAATAGGACCGTCGAGATACCTCATTTGCTGGTCAAAGATCCCCACTTCGCCTCAATGGCGGCTATCGCTCCTTACATCGACGATGCCCGGCTCCCGTCGCCCACGCCGGAGAATGTACTACTCGCAGTGCGATCTTACATCGCCCATCGGGGGCAATACCTACCTCTTCCCGCTGCCCCGTATGTCCGGGCAGCAAGTGAAATCGAAATCTCGATCCTGACCGCCCGCCAAAACGCATGTGAGTTTGAGTTCAGGTGTAAGATAGGATGGGCCTGCGTTCGTTGAAAGGGGCCAAAGCGAAGTGGCTATGAGCGCAAAGTGGCTACGAACCCAACGGATGAAGGCGGTGGACGAAGCGATCTGGGTGAAAACAACGATGGTGGCGGGATGGCTTGAGTGAAGCGTCGTCGAGGAGAATGCTAGCATACTGCGTGTGTTATACGAATACCTAGCTTACGATCTGGGCTCTTTGGTCGCCGTGCGTCTTCAGCCGATCCCAATAGAGATATCCTTCTGAGGATGGAAGAGTCCTTGTCGGAGATAAAGACGTCGATCCGAGGGCTACAAGTCCAAATCAATGATGTGAAGGACGACGTAAAAAATGTGAAGGACGACGTAAAAAGTCTGAAGGACGACGTTAAAACTGTGAAGGAGCAGGTGAACACCCTCGTTCAAAGTATTGAGCAGATGGAAAGATTTAGGCGTCAAGAGATGAAGCTCGAGTAAGTCGTCCACTGCACGATGTAATGTCGATCCCACTGCTAATGTCTTCTGATATGACAGAAACTGAACCAATATCTGACCAAAGGTCACCATTTGTGGGTACCTGTACCCTCATCTCTGGACGGTAATGTGGTTCCGGATGGCGTAGATGAGGTGAGTGTAATCATTCATGCCAATGCATCACGCTCTGACCTGAAAACATTCAGCATCTCGGGGGAAGCAGGCCTGTTTACCAACTGGAGGACAAGACGGTCAAGAAGTGGCTCAAACTGTACGGCTTACCAGAAACGGGAGATGCAGAAGATCGGAAGCAAGTCCTTTCGGACTTCCTTTCTGGCCTGTTTCTGTGATTGGGTTTGAGGTTCAGTCGCAATTGAAACAAACATGACGAGTTGATACGTGATAACGATTATACGAGACTGAAATGAGTAGACGACCGCTATTGTACAGAGACGACCGCTATCGTAATTTACGCATTATCATCGCTATTGTAATTTACGCATTATTATACTAGGTGTGCGAGCGTCACATGTTCATGCATCACGTATCATGTACTACGTGTGGAAGGGTGCAAAGGCCTTCTTGAATCTGATTGCGTCCTCCTTGTCTTCTGCTTCGGATTGGGTGCACTCTTTCCAGTCGATTCGATGATGATAACCTAGAAGGCTTCCGATGACGGTCCTGTGAGCGAATCAGAGATGTGGATAAGCCACTGTTGATTTGCTGATGATTACATTTGGAGTGGACTAACCTTCCGAACTGGAGATCAAAGTTCCCCTTCAAAAGATGGATCATCTTCGTGCCATCTGGGCATTCGACCTTGAAGTAATTACCAGTAGGTCCGACCCGTGCGAGAGCTCTTTCAGGTTCAGCTTCCCAATCGATACCTTGCTTCTCTCCAGCAATCTTGAACGACTCCTCGACCTTCCCAGCGAGTTCTTTGGGGATAGGAACGATCTGCACGTGTGCATGACCACCTCGACCAGACAATCGGCCGACTTCGAATGTGACGGGCACAGCGCCATAAGAGGCATAGCACGCTCGAAGAGAAGACTTGAAGCCTTCTAACTCTGAGATAATCGACATGGCGTCTTCGGCGGGAATCGAGAGCAGGGTTGGGTGGTGTGCGATGGGGATGATCTGTGATATACAGTTCCGAATCAGCTGAGATACGCAGATTCCAGAGCCTATACAGCGGACTCACCAGCACATGTCCTCCGCCTGGGACAAGAGGCTTTGAACCACCCTGGGCGATGTGCTTCGGTAATGTCGGGATGATCTGTCCCTTTGGCAGAGTCACGTATGTCTCGGAGCCGATGGCGACAATGAGATGCTTCGTCACCTTTGGATTACTCAAGCAAAACCAACCTGGAATGACTTCTGTCAGCGGCACAGTCACCTTGAGATTGACCAGGACGACTCACATTCGGCCGGACCCAGCTCCTTCCTCTTGCTCTTTGCCTCCTCCCTCTCGAGCACGACTGGACAGTCTCGGATGTAATGCGCGTCAGCAAGACCACATGCTCGACAGACATAGCCTTGAGGTGGCGGTTTGGGACCACGGGGCTTGTCTTCCTTATTGGGGCATTCTCGGATGAAGTGGTCAGACTGGAGTGTTAACCAACCAGACCTCGATCAGCAGCGAGAAATCCAGTCAGGCATTGGAACTGACTTACGGATTGGCAAATTTTGCAGACATATCCTGGCGGAGGCTTAGAATGGTCCTTGGTGTCTCGATTGTTCTTTTGAGGACAGTCTTGGATCCAGTGCTATGACTCAAGCTTCAGCTAAACAATGTCCGACTTTAAGTGAAATGCCGCAACTCACGCCTGGCTGAGCACAAATCTTACAGACGTAGCTCTCGGGAGGTGGGCCACCCTCTGCGATAGTATGAGCTCATATTCCGTTCGACACCAGAAATCCACACCCAGCTCACCGGTTCGTCCTTTCTTCGCGGCCTGTTCTCCGAAGAAGTGATTTTGCTCCTCGAGGGCGGATCGTTTCTTGCCGGCCATCATGCTTACTGAGGTTGATGGCATCATAAATGGGTTGGGCGTAGCATTGGCAGGTCTAGCAGGTAAAGGCGCAGTCGTTGTTTGAGGAGGAAGACCGAATGCGTAGAACCACTGGTTCAATCTCAGCAAGTCAGCCGAATTGCCGATCTGTCTCGGCCATCAAGTAATTCCAGCTCACCCTCGCTTTCTTTCCTCCCGCTGGAACCTCACTGCCCAAGGCACCGAGCTTGACAGCCCTTGTCCATCTCTCCTCTTTTCCGTTGGGTCCCGCCCACCCCCACGGCTCCCTCTCCCAGAATCCTTCACCATCTCCCCACAAAAGATATCGAGGTTTAGCTCTCCTGACAACTTCCTCGAGAGGCGGTGCTGATTTCGCCAGGGTGATACCTGCATTTGCGTAAGATGGCGAGAGAGTTGACAAGTGCGGAGGCGGAGAGGAGAAGAGTAGGAGATCTACGCCTTGGAAAGCGGATGGAAGGGCAGCAGCGGATGTTTTGGCCGACGCCAGAGATCCAGAGGGGTCCGCTGGTGCACCAGACAGAAGTGGGTGTGAGAGGATAGTATTTATGGAGTCTTTGGAGATGACGGGTGAAAATTGATCCTACATGCAAGCGTGATGGAGGAGTTTAAGCTGTGCACCGTAGATACACACAGTACGACGGGAGAGGTCCACTCACACCAACGGTGTCGTATCCTTCTTCGGTGAAGCTACCTCCCACGCATGCGATCTTGAGTCCTTGAGCAGTGGTGAGCACTGTCGATTTGCCTATAATTGGAGATCAGTCAATCAGACCGCCTATCATCGTGAGCATGTGGCATTCGCGCAACTCACCGAGGTAGACGAGATTAGTGGTCACTTCACCACCAGTTTTGGTGATCTGGGTTTGAATCGCTTCGGGAATGGCAAATTTGCCCACGGTGAAGTAAGTAGGCACGGGGACTAGAAATAAATCGAGTATGTGAGCTATGGCTGATCCTCCTCTGGAGGACGATTAGCTTACAGTTTAGCCCGCCAACTTCACTGCCATCACTTCCTTCCTTGAACAGATCACCGACCACGACACACGCATCGAAGGGCCCATGTTTACCATTGATTGCGTTGATTTTGGAAACTAGAGTCGATAGGTCTGATAAGGGTGAACCTATAGCGAGGCTAAGAAGAAGGGGAAGTGGGATTGTACAGCAAGGGGGTGGTGGGTGGAGGAAGGGGAGGACAAGGAAGAAAGGGTTAGCGTGATCCTCGTGTAGGACGACAGGGGAAGACGAACACACATCTTGAGTGGTTGGGTTTGCTCCGCCATTCTGCCACTTCTCTTCCCTTCTCTGTTCTTCTCTCAGAGACTTGGGCGGATTCTGGCACAACAGGTGAGTGAGAGGTGGAGGAAGAAGAACAATTTGACGGGAAGAAGGGAATGTCGATATGCCAGGGTGCAGGTGGAGGAATGGTGGTGATAGGGTAGAAAGGCGGCGCTTGCCGCTATTCTTACTGCCCATAGGTCAGCATTATCTGGAGCAGAGTTCCATGCATCTTGGATCTTGGATTCGTTTGATGCACAGCAGTGATATGTGCCCTGATGTGTTCTCAGTGAACCCCAAACCAAAAAGTGCGGCGATGTCATTCAGGCAGACGTCAATCATTGGACATCCTGTACCCAAAAACCGTCAGCACCCGGGATTCCCATCTGGTCCCCCACGATGGTACTAACCGGGCGATATTGAGTTTCAAACTTCGAAGAGCGGACGGGATTCGGTACTTTCTCAATTCTGTGGCCGACGATGAGGGAAATCACGCTTTGCGCATGTAAGTAATAATGTGACCAAAAGCGTTTTTTCTTCTCCGTTTTCTGCTTGCAATCGGTGCAAGCCACAGCCATGCGTTGACGGGTTCCTCTGAGGAATAGCTGTGACATGGACGGACGTCGAGATGAGGCACATCTTGTATAGCAGATGCTGCACATTATAGCTATGGACAGTACTGACCGATCCCTTCTCCGACTGATGCTGCTTCGCTTCTTACGGTTTCTTTGTGTACAAAAAGGGCTACTATAGTTCCAAAGCTTTGGGCACACCTCGTCTCGAGCTGAGCTGGAGGACCCTCGAATCGAAGCTCGACTCTTCTTCGTCTATCCCGCCATATGAACCGAACAACCAGCCAAGTCCGTCAGTACCACTCTGCGTGCAAGCCAGAACGATGCCTTATCCAAACAAGGTAGCTCACCTTCGAAAACTGCGTCTTCCACTACTCTCTTGGACCTTGATTCATCGTGCGTTCTCGTTGGCGAGTCTATACGACCAAACCACGGTGTCATCTCGACCCTCCTCCGCGTTCGAGGGGGTGCTACTCACAACGTCGATCTATATCTTCGAGATTCCGAGATCCTAATGCCCTGTTCTCGACCTGTTCGACCGATCGTTCTTCCACTGCGAGCTCAGAGATATTCCAGAACCCCGTCAGCTCCGATCATAGCTTCGGCTGACGTCTGGTTGTCCGGGAGTATCGTCTGGAACCAGGCCAGTACTAGTACGCAGGACCTTCGCTCACTTACTGTTGGGGAAAATTCCGGGTCGTCGCGGAAGGGATAGCGCGGTGATACTCGTCGCCGCTAGCAGGCTCACGAGGATGCATGACAACTGCATCTCGGGGGTCTTCGATCGCTGATCGCTAGTCGAGCAGATAAGTGATATGGTCGGTTCACTTTCTGCACCAGGTCAAGTACGGTGATATTGTGATAGTTCGATACGCTGCAACAAGATTTGAGAGAAGAGTCGATCTCAAGACATATATGTGTGCGCGACTGACAATGGACTCCATCCTTATTATATGCCGACGAAGTACCGCCTTCCGATGCTACTCAATCTCCAGAATGCATGGAAGTGGGGAGGGTGAGAGGTCGGAGTTGGATCTAAGACATCATTGAGATATGATACATGGCTAAGAATAAGCTCGGAGATCGGATGCGCCACCTTTGCACCCATCGTAGTGCATCGTATCGTAAGGCAAGTCCTTGCCGAACAGTAAGGGATTAATCATATGTCGCGGTCGCTTTGTATGCTGATCATGGCAAATGCGTGTGATGGGCCTGTACAAAGAAATGGCATGTTTTCATGTGTGTATCATGTACTGCAAAACATCCTTCCTCGTCTAGCTTGAAGGGACCTTCACCGTGTAGACCTGGATGCAGGCAGAAAGATGATTCCGTGTTCCAGGTCAGCTTCCGAGCTGAACGCTGTGCTTGTACGTTCCCATGCTGTACGAGTATTGGCCATCGTTAGGGAGCAGAGCAAGCAATCTGCTGGGATCTGCAGACATAAAGGCGCTCACTGCTCGGGAACATCATAAGTAGCCAATTGCAACGCTACTTGATACAGCCCAACCGGTGACAGGAAGCCGGACTGGGTGGCAGAGGCGAACGACGACCAGTTGATGATAAATCACGGGACCCCATACTCGCACGGCCTTCCACCGCTAAGAGGACGCACTAAATCACGCTAATATTCGACATTTGGTTCAGGGTTTAGTCCCTACACGGAGCAGATCCGTCGATCCCACCGCGTGAAGCAGTCAGATTTCAACGGGTAGATCTCCTCTGCTCTCGCCCTGTGAGGTTTCCCGTCTGACTCAGTCAGCTATCCCTGAAGTTCTGGAGTGAGTGTAGGGTAAGATGTGGTGGAGGGAAAGGCTCCTCTGTTCAATGTAATCGCCGCTAGTGCAATTACCGGGGTGTCATATGCCATATGCCATATGCCCAGCTCCCATACCGTAGGTACTCTATGGCTGCATGCTATCTCTACCATAGGCCTATGAGTCACACTCAGGCTGCAGTGATAGAGCGACTCAAGGAGTGGTGCTCCATACCTCGCCTTAGCGCTGCACTTGGTATAGCATCCCGTCCTTCTCACCGGATCTGCGTACATGTATCTGGGTACATATCTATCCTATATGATCGAGCAACGCTATTGCCATCACCATCACTACTACCATCAATCAATCATCTGATTTGATCGCATCAAAACAAATCAACCTAAAGCCGAACCCACAGCCAAGCTCCACCCCAGACCGCCCCCAGACCAGCCGGTTCTAATTCCATCTCGTCGAGTCAAATCACTCAATCAGGGGCGCAGTCTCCAAAGTCTTGGCAAAAGTCGAGGGATAGATAACGCAACGGTCAACGGTTCAGCAACAAACGTTTCATCCATTCATCGATACATCTCATACATACACAACTGATACAGCCACGACAGAGCTCTTCGAACACAAACTTCTACCTCGTTTCCCATCGCGCCCGACTCAGCAAACAAACAGAAAGCAAAGAGAAATCACAACCATTGTACTATCGGGACATCGGGCTTGGACATTCCCACGCAGCATAGTACACTGCACTGCAAACCGTTTGAGGGATATTTGATGCGAGTTCAGAGACACCCTTGAGGGACTTTGCGTCGATCTTGCTGTCCTATCATCTAAATACCTCAGTAACTTGGAAAAGGCGTATCAGACACGCAACATTAATACGATTGCCCCTACCTACCTTGGGCTCAAAGGAATCAGTGACATCACCCCACTCTACCCACTCACATAGATTGCTACGATAGCCGATAACGACGGAGCGCACAACTACGACTGTAAAGATAACAACACGATAGTCATTCTCGGCGTTAAAACATCCTGGAAAGCGAAAACGGAAAACATTGAGCGATAAGGCTGTCAGAGATAGCTTGCAACAGGAAAGTGTAATTGAACAGGTCATCGACACTCCTGCACGTTTCTTCCTTCTTGGCTGCCTGCCGTGCTCCATTCCACGCCCCAATTGGTGATAGCTGCCTTCATCCCGCCCCACGTTCGGCCTTAGAAGGCAACCGATACTCCTGAGTATATCACGACACATCCCACAGTAGGAGCACCACATCGCTGCCATGTCATTCGGCACCTCACCGACAGCTCCTTCTCTTCTCATCCCTTCCAATCCTGCTTTTTCTCCCGCCGAATCTGCACCCCGAGGCGGTATACTGATCAACGTCCACCGAGCTTCCGAGCCATCTCTCACCATTCCCGAAGGTTCGTCATCGGCTGGCAGGACTTCTGACTCCGAGTCGCCTATCACACCCAACTTCCCACAGACGCACGAGTCGGCTTTCCCTCTCCCTTCACCGAGTCTGGGAGCCGTCGGTGGGAAATCACTCAAGATCAGATTCGCACCTCTTCCCGACCCTCGACGACCAAGAAGCTTGAGTACCGGTCGTAATATAGCTTGGACCGCACAAGTGGGCGAGGATGGCGAAGAGAGACGAGCGCTAGCCATCAGAGACCATGATGCAGATGCAAATGAGTACGCCATAGAGGATGAAGAGGATGACGAAGATGATGGGGAAGAGGAAGGCGAGGGAGGAGCCGATGGGGCAGGCGGTCACAAGCGCGGTAGAAGTTGGAGCAAGACGATGGGCAGTAGTTGGAAGGGAACAAAGAAGCTGCTCAGTGGTAAGAACCCTGTCTCTAGCAAGGAGAAAGAGAAAGACAAGGACAAGGAGGATTTAAGTGCATATGGAGCCGGTGCACCTCTCAAGAAGAGTGTCAGCACGGGTGGATTCATCGGATCGTGAGTTGGCGAATCGTTTTACACAAGTCAATGGGGCATGGAGCCGTACCACCGCTCTCGAGTGACGTTTCGATGGCGATGCTGACTGGTTACACCGCGCTCGTAGCTCTCCCTTCCGGTGGACGACCGAAATCGAGCGGAAGCTATCGATGCAAGGTTCCTCGCCGCCTACCGTCACATCACTGCTTTCCGCGCACCGCCCATCGGCCCCTTCGACATCTACACCTACTTCTCCTGGACACCGACGCAATTCTTCCCTCGAGCCCGCGACTCCGAACCGAGCTCACCGAAACTCGTCTCCGAGTTTGACGCCTATACGGATGATGAATGGCAGAGTGTACGGATCGCGCAGGGCCTCTGAGGCTGCCGAGAGGGAGCGAATCAGAAGGGAGAAGAATGAGCCTGCATTCGTTGAATGGGGCCAAGGAGAAGTGGCTACAAGCGCAACGGATGAAGGCGGTGGAAGAGGCTTCCTGGGCGACAATGACGATGGGGGTGGAATGGCCTGGGTCAAGCGTCGTCGGGAGGAGCGGCTGCGCAAAGAGCAAGAAGAGCGAGAGAGGAGGGAACGAGAACGAGAACAAGGACAAGACGAAAGAGCTGAAAACCTCGGCTCTGCCTCCGACGACTCACCCACAGCCAACCGAAGAGCTGATGGTGATGGTCTGTCATCAAGCACAAGCTCCACTTCATCCCTCGATCTCGAGAACCACGTTCGACCTCGACACGTCAGTAGCGATCTCAAGACGCCTGCTATCCACACTTCCGACTTACCGCCAACGCCTATCATCCAGATTTCAGACGGCGATGCCGCGCCGTCGCCACATGCGAATGTCCCGTCCGCCAACGCAGGTCTTCCTTCCCAAATCAAGGACGATATAGTTGGACCGAAAGGAGAGAGGATGTCCCCTACACCTCCCGGTACCGGTACAGGAACTGGCACAGCCACGCCTATCCCCGTCGGCAAGGAGAAAGAGGAACATGGACATGTCGTTCGGGCCATGCGAATACCCACAGAAGCAGAAAGTAAGGCTCAGGCGAAAGGCAAGCCGGTCGACGTATTTGGACAGGTCGAAACACGCTCGCGTGCGCCGCAAGGAAGCTATGATGATGACGATGATGACGATGAAGAAGACGAGGAGGGTGATGAAGGAGATGAGGATGACGAAGGTGACTACGA